TATGACTGAAAACTGAAGGGGGTGTCTGGAAGGACTGTTAAAGACCTTCTGATGAAAGCTGACATTTGACAGAAGCTGTCTTGTCGGATAAATGATAAAAATTGAACGTGCAAATGCAAATGCATTATTCTGCGCATAGGATTATATAAAATACTTTTAATTGACAAGTTTAATATTTCTATACTACAAATCAATACACCCAAAACCATATGACAATTATTTAATGTAGAATAAATGAATAACGTACACGGTTGTGTTCTTTAAAAAAGTAAAAACAGATATTAAATGATTTAATATTTTATTAATAAAATAACAATTATAGTGTATAACGACAATACGATAAGGTTGCGACAGTACGATAACGGTTTGGGTTCCGCAAACTTGAATTAAATGCGTTTAATCTTCGCGAGAAAACACATTCGCTTGGTGTTGCTGTTCGTACTGGGAAAACCGCTTGAAATTTTCCGATGATCCGAGCTTGACCAACGATTGAATCGCTTTGTAATGGGTATGTTTAAATATCTTTTTAATAAATCTGATTAACACTTCGGCGCAAATAATGGTCAATCGAGTGGGATACCGCAGCGAGTCAATGAGTCTGGGATTGATGCGGAATTTATATTCTTCAGCGATGTCCAGTAGCCCTGCGATAGAATAATTATATACAGACAAGGGTTTTTTGATATTGATCCTCAGCAACGATTCGAGCGTGTGATTGTTCAATTTGACCTTTGACTTTTTGTTGATTTCCGTCAACATTGCGATTACCAGTTGCTGTAATTCGATGATGGTACTTTTCCAGAAAATCTTCTCGAAATCGTTCGGATCGGGTAACAATTTCACATATAAAGGATTAGTTTTGGGCAAGTGTAAAAAAACACACCAAACGTTGTAGGTTCTGAAAAAGTGTTTGACGTGCTTCTTCCGATGGTCCAAGGATACAATTTTCAACTGCTCCAAGAATTCATAATATATCCGCAATATCATCGTGTTTAACGCTGCCATAACGTGTTCGTGGAAGTCCACCAGTGACAAGACGTACTGTCGAAAAGTCGTACGGCCGCTTTTGATCTCGGTAATTTTATCCTTCAGATACACGAGCAGTTGACGTCCGTTTGCGAGCACCCCGAAATCCGTCAGCAGAGTAGTCGCCATTGAAGTGTTCTCGAACACGTCGTTCAAATACAGCAAGTTCAAGGTCAAATGTTTTTCTGTCAGAGGCCGAACGCCTGGTACCGGACAAGAAGTATCGCTCTCTTCTTGGAAACAGCTCAGACTGGAGTTCAGACACAGGTCGGGCCAGTGCTTGCCCATAAGTGTCTTCACCGCAGCCGAGTTTTCCGAAAAGTCGTTCCCTATCCAATTCCACCGTTTCATGTCATCCAAGTACTTAGGGAATTTGCGCTCACACTTGGTCTTCCGGTCAAACATGGTGCAATCGTTCTTGGACATTGTGTGAAGCAGCAACTTATACATCCCGTAGTGCGCGGTCTGCATGACCGGCAGAAATTCTTTGTCCGGGTCATTGGTCGCGTGTACTTCTATGCGCATAACGTACAAGTACAGCAGCCACGCCACGTCCATTTCGGCGTCGTTCTGGGTGATATTGAAAGCGGTCGCCAACATTTTCTTCGCCCATTCTGGATACAAGGTTTTGATGGCCTCGTTTAAACTGACTACTTGTTCAGGATAGCTCAAATTATGTGGATTCGTTAAGTGCAGATACGACAACATGTAGTACGCTTCGTTGCATTTAATTTCTTTGCCGATGGCGGCAACTTCTTTAGCCTGGTCCAATGAATTCGGAGTTTCTTGCGACTTCGCCGAGCACGGTTTTCGTTTGAATTGTCCTCTGTTGAACGACTGAATATGTTCGTAAGCATTGGTCTTTTCGCTAGAAGGCCACTTGACACAGTCCGTCACGTTAACAAAGACCATTACGGTGATAATCGACGCGGTCCACTTCAATATCAGCGTCATTTTCAGTATACTAACAAAACACAGCTAGAAGCAGGTAATTAAATAGGATTAATTGTTACATACGCAGAGCTACTGGATTGACTAAGAGTTTGTAAGCGCGTAAATCTTTGAAGTACAATTTGGTTTTAATTTTTAAACCATGTAAGTAAATAAACGTGGGGGTAGCAGATGTGTAAATATTTTTTTTAGTTTTTCAGTGTACGATTTACAACTGCAACATGGCGTGTGCCGTGTATGCAAATGCGTTAAACTTTACACTTGCGACAAACATAAAACCGAAAAAAAGTCCATTGTGTTGTTTGTTACTATTTAACAATGGTAATATAATAATATAGACAAACGATCAACCCTAATCGTATCCATTAATATTAGTTTTTATTATGTTGGTAGGAAATATTATAACAACATTTATATTTCAAAAAATGCTTTCATAATACAAATGTAAAACATATACGTGAATTAATTCCAGATTTAAAATATGTTATGCTTTGAAAAACATCTCAAACTATTTTACTTTTGCTATTTGAATTTTGCCGTATTGTATTTAGTTTTGATACGGAGCTTAGAGGTAGTTGGTTTAATTATGATGTGGGTTTTTTTGTGTCTGAGAACACTGTAACATTTTTAATACTGGATCAATTCCTTGTAGTAAATAATACTGATCGATAACTACTCTTTTTTTTCATGTAGCGTAACGGGCGTGAAGTTCGGAAAGGGGGATGGCGGCTTCTTTTCCACGGACGATTTACACAATATGTATTTTTTGTACAACGTCTTAGTGCGAATAAAAAATTGTACTACATTTTTTTAATTTTATAATCTTTTTGTGTAGATATATTAATTTGTGCGTAACATTTTAAAACATAATTTATGCTGAATATAGTTGATAATTAGTTTATACGATTATTATAAAAAAAAATGATAACTTTGTGATAATGCATAATTAGATGACCTTAAAACCAATATCTTTATAAAGTCTGTAGATATCAAATATATTATTATTGTAATAACTCAAAACTCTCCAACCAATCTATTTATCATTAACAACAATGAACAACATTACATTACATCATTAACTACAATGATGTAAAACAATCTATTGGTATAATAGAAGCTTATTAAGATTTATTAATTGCTTTGACCCAACTTTGCTAACTTATTCTGTGCCGATGTATACTGTATTTGTATTGGACTGTTCTGGTTTATACTGTAATTGGTTTGCATTGTGCTTGGTTTGGACTATGCTGGAATTTTTATTTTTGTTTGGGTATTATTAATATTTATTTTGGACTAACGTTATTTATTAATTAATTTTTGATTATTTGTATTATTTTTGTATAATTCATTATATAATACCTACTCGGAATTTTTTTCCCCGGCCTTTTTTACCGTTTACCCAACTTTATATTAGACCTAATTCATCTAAATCATAATGAATACATAAAAAATTTAAATTATCAACCTGTACTTTTGAATTCACAGACCACGTTGCACGGCGTAATTCCAAATTGGACATTGGTTTATAAATGCCCCACTGAAGGTAACCTAAATATATGTATACTCTTAAACATTTTATGGAATAGAAAATAATAATTTACGGAATGATCAATGGCCAGTTTTGAGATGTTGAGATTTTATTAACCATAAGCTTAAACGTTTTATGCGAGACTATTGCTGTCGGGTATAAACGCCATCAATTGACACAATAAATACGAAACAGGTATTTGACCAGTCAACATTTTAAATAACCCGCTCTTGTTTTCATTAAGGAATACAATTTGTTTTATAAAATGTTGTTTGAATAACATTGGCGCCATTATCATTATAATTATTTAATAATAGGCTAATTAGATACAAAATACACTTAATTGAATTATAAAATATTATTTATTGCACCTACATTAGTCATGAACCATGATGATTATGCGATACGTAAGTGTTTTTATAACTATAAACATAATTTTATAGCGTTGAACGGTACAACACTAACAACACTTTACAACGGTAAAACATTTTGCTAAAAACGGAGTATTGTTAACTTGTTTTTTCTCGTACTTTAATTATTGCTCCTTTGACGGTTTAAATGACGCACGACCCTCTTTACCTTTGTATAATGCACCTCTCAACCTGCTGTCAAGTCCAAACAATCTCGACCCCTATTTTGTGTAGACAGTGTTTGCAGATTATTATCAGGTCTCGCGCCGGCAGCCACCTGGTCAACAGTGACCAAAGACCTTTTCTATTATGCCCATTGTTCAGCCAGGCGTAAAGGCTACTACTTGACAAGTGCGTTTTTTATATATTATATCGTTATTAGCAAAAAAAGACACCATCAAAGCTCGGACAACATTAGACATTACAAACTTAAATAATCTCCTCAGGCATAGCACGATAGCATCAAGACGACCACGACGAACCGACTGTCTTCCGTTCAGAATAAAGGTACATACTCTTTTACTTAAAATAGTAGGAGCCTTGTTTATCTTGGTGTACTATTAGCATCTATTCTGTGCTTTTAGTAAAAGGAAATATGTATTAGAGGAAATTCATTTTTTTTATTGGTAATTCTCAAATATATAATTTCGATAAAATTCAATTGATTGTCGAATAGAACAGAATATCACTGGATAAACATCAGGTCTGTGATTGTAATAACAGTTATACCTGGCGTAGAACAATTATTGCATATAATTGCTATACACACATATAGCTCCGCCTGTGGGCGGTACCGACCGATGGTTGTTAGTGTGTATGATGTGGTGTCGAGGGTGACTTCACAGAAGCAGCGCATGTCTCTTTCTGCCGAACATGGGAAAATCAATCACCGGTGAAAAATGTCACACGAGCCATTCCTCAGTCGGTCCAAAAGGGGATAGGCCTTTTGTCTGCAAGCGATAAGAATTAGTGGGCGGAGAAATGTCGTAGAGAGCCTTTGCTGGGTCGAGCAGCTATGTGAAAACAGACAGCAGAGATGTTCATTTTTACAAAAAAATAGTCATCAGGCGTAGTTCGTCTTCCGGTATAACTCCAAGTAGCACGTTACTTTGTGTTAGCTGTTCTTGTGTATAATAATCGCTTACACTAATTTACCAAACAACATTGCAATTTGAACCAGCTTGGTAATCCTTTGCTGTGACGGTGAGTAAATACCTCAAAGGTCGTACTAAGAGTTCATTGGTTTTATGTCGTTTATACATAATATACGTATGCATGTAATCATAATTCGTTATCATTATAATTAATCTATCCCAATTGTCTGACTCACTCGTTTGGTATAAATCCTGTTAAATCGAACATAGATATTCAATTTGTACTGTAATATTCTCAACTGTAAAACAGTTGTAAACAAAAATGTCAATGGACTTGATCACAACTAATTTTATAATAGTTTTTTTCCTTCAAATAATATGTTTAAATAAAAATAATAGTAAACGAAAAGTTAACATAATACTATGCCAAAGCATGTGTAAAAAGCCGAAAGAGGTTACAGACGAATTAAAAGAAAAACCAGTCAACTTTTCACTTCTAGGTTTGGACAAAACTAAAAAACTGCTTTTTAAAATTACAATTATTAGTTAAGAAATAGTTGTGTAACAAAACCAAAGCTTTTTTTTATGGGTCCTACTTTCATTAGACTTGTCTTTTATTTGAAATTAAGAAAATGTTAAAAAAACTTCTTACAAATATTCTAATTTTTTTAAATACTTAATCGATTCAGACTTATGCTCTCTTACAATAGAATAAGGTTATATTCTAAAAACTTTATACAATACCTACTATTGAATAAATCATATAAACTATAAAAATAATATTGCCTTGAACAAAATATCTGTAGACAACAGATACACATGTACCGTAACCGATTTAGAGTTGTTAATTAATTTAGAAGGTCTTTGCGTTCAATCCAGTTGTACATTTTATTATGTCTGTATTTTAATTATGCTATATTTGATCGTAAAAATATTATATATATACAACACATAAATTAATAACTAGTAATAGGTAAATATTATACTGATTTAGCTTATTGCTTTTTATGTACGAAAAAAACAAAACATACTATTTTTAAATCAGAATGTAATATTATTATGGTATAAATGATTTCATATTAGATGGTTTATAAAGATTACCTAAGTACACAGAAAAATCATTACTTAAATTATCTTATGTAGCTGAAATTGTATTGAATCATAATGGATTATAATGATCTGTTTTTATGGTAGTGATATTCAAGCACTTCATCAAAAAAAAAATTATGTTGATGATTCAATAAAAAAATCAACTATTGCATTTCAATTGGCCAGAGTTAAAATCAAGAATACATTTTCGCTATCATCCTTAATAGTTTTGTCCACTGAAAATTATGTTTAAAATCTGTTAAAATCGTACAAGCATTAATCTCAAAATTTAAACTAAAGAAACTGTTTAGAGAAAGTTTGATTTTTTAAAGGAAGTTTAAGAGAAAGACTTTGGAATTCGGAATACATGTAATAGCGGCTTACATAATGTATAAATCAGAAACCTACATACACTTAAAATTATACATAACAATTAATATATTATATTCATATATATATATAATACAAATGTACTCAGTAACATTATTTAATTATATCAAAATAACGTAGGCAAATGAATACAAGGTAGTACAAGGTAAAAGTTTTGTAACACAAATTCGCACCTATGTGTTCCCTTGACAGTAATAATTTTATCGCTTTGATATTTATTACTAACTCCAAACCGGTGACATTCTCGACCTCAAAGTGATATTTTCATATTATAATGCTGACTTTTTTGTTTTGCTTATTTCCAATTACATTATCTAATTTATTTAACTCGATAATTATTGTTATAACTTTTAATAAATAAACTAAAATTATGCCATTTTAGTTTTCCTGAACTTTTCGACAAGGCCACTTTACTATTTTTGTGTTGATTTGAAGTATTTTAACACGTTTTTGATAAAAAGCGCCAACTCACCCCAAACAATAGATATTGTAATTTGTACCTACATAACATACAATAATATGATATAATAATATATGCAGTAATTATGTAATTTCAGTTCGTCGTAACGCCTTAATGAATGATTATACCCCAAAGCAAGTCTTGATTCATAAAAAAAAATTATAATAATATGATATTTCAATTTAATAACATAATAATATTATGTAAATCACTCAGCTGTTAATTGTACTATTGTGGGCAATAACTATGTATATTTGTGACATAACAAAATATAAAATTATTTCATATTTAAACTCACCATTTTTGCGAGGTTTGACCGATGACTGTTGACTATTACAACCTTCTTATAAGGATATAGTGTCTTTTGATAGAAGTGATCGGGTGACGGATTCTTTGACATATCAATCAAAACGTCAAGCAGCACGTGCTCTAGTGTTATTTTAATAAGATAGCATTCACTATATTATGACCCAATGTAGGTTTTAAGTTTTTCATTTTTGACACCGAGTACTCGACCGCTTTCTTTTGATCATCATCATTATGTAAAATACTCAAAATACACTTCCTACACAAATGCCAGTAATTGGGCAAAGGATAGGATGTGTACAGAACTCTACATGGATAGAATATACGGAAGTAAAAATCCTATTTATAAACAGATTTTGTGATAAGACTAAGAACCCAAAACAGCTAAACGTTAAACGGATGCAAATGTTAACGCATTTTTAGCTCTTCAATTATTGTTTTTGCCAAATTATAGCGTTTTTCTTTGACTTGCGAGCTATGGTATGGTATGCACACATTATCAACGTTTGAAAATAGCATTTCCGATGTCCAAGAGTAGTAGAGAGTTGACTTTTCAACTTTTGATCTCTTTAAGTTATATATTAAAGAGGTACAGACCGAAGAAATTAGTCCCATCGCCCCCCCCCCCCCCAAAAAAAAACAATATCTTGAGAATAACATGATAAAATAATTTTGTACTCAAGACCCGTTGGGCCGTTCCACTCACAGGCACGTAACTCTGGTGTACTCGTGTACATGTACTAGTATACTTGTGAGTGACTTGCCCGCTACTGCTATAGATAATACTTAAAATTCGATATTATTATATTATAATGTGTCATCTTGATTGCTTACAGCCAAATGTACAAAGAAACCACTATTTTACTAGAAAAATACTGAACCGAATCGATGGACGGAGCCGTCGAGCTTGCACCGTCGATGACAGACTTTTCGATCGCCAGAATAATGGAACCAGAGCCGTTGAAAAGCACTTATAAAAAATACATGCAACCGTTTGACGTTGCTGGTAATACGGCCGTGGCCTTTGACAACAGACAATATTATTCTGGTCCCCTCGCAACGCAAAGTATTCAAAAGCACACTTCGTATAGTTCTGCCAGTACAAGATCATCACACCCAAGAGACAGATTCCAAGATCAGATTCGGGCTCCGTTTACTTCTACGGCCGAATCCAACGAGTTCGAGTGTCCTGTATGTAGTAAACGGTTTCAAGCCCACTACAACCTAACGCGTCACTTACCGGTTCACACGGGCGCCCGACCGTTTGTGTGCAAGGTCAGGTTTTGGAAAATTATTATTATCATCGCAATAACAATATATATTATAATTAATAGAAATATAATAAAACTTCTACAATCTGCAATGCACGGGGGGTCTAGAATCCGAAAAAAACAAACGAAAATGGATTTTTCAAAATGGTATAGTAGAGACCCGATTTCTTTCCTAGAGTTATTAACTAAGTGACGTTAAGTGTATAAATATACAATTTTTTTTTGCTACTCTAACTGCTGGAACAAAGTTGAATGGTCAATTACTGTTATTATCATCCCATATTTTATTTTATTTTTATGACATAAAAAAATATCTTTAAGGAAAGGTAATGTACATTCCAGTATACTGTCCAATGTTTAATTAACGTATATTGACACCCCATCTGCTTTTTTTTTTTAATTTGTAACCAAAAACAAAATTAAAGCAAGCTTTATTAACTATGTTTTTTTGACATTTTCATGTCTTAGCTCTGGCACATAACCGAAAAAAGCGTAACGAAAAGTTTTTCAGCCGAGTCTGCAACCACGAAAGAGAATTTTCATGTCTCGTTAAACTACCGAATAAATTAAGATTAGTTGTGGAATTATAATTAAAAAAAAAAATTACTTGGAGCTTCCAGTTACAGCATAAGTCAAGGAGATTAAAAAATTATGTACAATCAAATTTCTGGCTATAATTGTAGTGTTTATTATCTGGCCAAAAGTAACTTAACATAGAGAATTAAACTATTTCGAATTTATTTTTTAGTTCTAATTTGAACGTTGAACGTACAACATATCTCTTATCTTATATATCTTACCCCTATCCTCTACCCCTATCTCATATCAGATAACAGCGTAACGCTTTTTTTGGTAACACTTTTTTCGTTACGCTTTTTTCGGTTATGTGCCAGAGCTAAGACATGAAAATGTCAAAAAAGCGTAACAAATAAAGCGTTACCAAAAAAGAAATGGGGTTGAAGATGAGATGGGAATGGGAAAGGGGTGGAATTAGCTATGACAAATAACCGGAAAATAGAGTAACGAAAAAAGCGTTACCAAAAGAGCGTTACCACACGGAGATGGGTTGGAGGTGGAAATAGGGGTAGGAGATAAGGTGTGGGGGTGGGATAGGGTTGGGGTTGGGGACAGGAGATAGGGGTGGGAGATAGGGGTGAGTGATAGGGACGGGAGATAGTGGGTAGGGGATAGGGGTAAGATATAGAAGATAAGAGATAAGAGATATGTTGTACGTTCAACGTTTAAATTAGAACTAAATAATAAATTCAAAATAGTTTAATTCTCTATAGATTAAACTATGTTAAGTTACTTTTGGTCAGATAATAAACACTACAATTTTAGCCAGAAACATGATTGTACATAATTTTTTAATCTCCTTGGCTTATGCTGTAACTGGTAGCTCCATGTAATTTTTTTTTTTTTAATTATAATTCCACAACTAATCTAAATTTATTCGGTACTTCAACGAGACATAAAAATGCTCTTTTGTGGTTGCAGACTCGGCTGAAAAACTTTTGTGTGAAATTTAGCTCTACAAATCAGACAAACTCGCGAAACCAACATTAGAATATACAACAAGGTATAAATAAACGAGAAATGTCACCAATAAAAGACCTATTAGGGACAAGTTAAAAATGATAAAATCAGAAAAATAATTGGATATATATATAGTAACACATATACAAGTGAAAAATCAAAATAATAAGTAACCGCATGCGCTGATGGTGTGTTCAGTTACCTATTTTATGTGATCATCACTTCTAACCAACGCATATATACTCGTATATATAAGTGATTATCTACTTTAACCATCACCCTTAAGGCCATAACAAAAGTAGTTAATATGCTAACCCCCTTAATATGAAGGGGTATAGGGACAAAAACAGATAATTCACTTATTTTTAATCTAAGAATAACAAAAATTTTTAAAATATTAAAAAGTACTTAAAAACTTTTAAAACAAGTACTTAGTTTGTTTTTGGTCCTGTTTACAAACAAAGAACAGATTCGTTTCGTATCAAAACGAATTTTACAACGACGAAATGGCCATTTTCAAAAATGTGACTGGCCTGTTAATACTATCCTTTCAAAGCCTTCATAAAATCATAAAATATCGCATTAATTTAAAAATTGTTTCCATTTGTGAATTTAGTGATCTTCGAAACATAAAAAACAACACATTTTGATGTGTTCCAATCTAAATGTCAAGATATATTAATTTTGATTGTCTATTTTCGGACTCTAGTGCATTTGGAAACTATCCAATATGAATTTTATGTGTAATTTTTTTTTTAGAAAAATGTTATTGTGTTTTCTCCATAGGTATGCGGTAAAGGTTTCCGACAGGCTTCCACATTGTGCCGGCATAAAATCATTCACACCCAAGAACGCCCACACCTGTGCCGAGTTTGCGGCAAGTCGTTTAACCGCAGCAGCACGCTCAACATGCACATGCGCATACACTTGGGCATAAAACCGTATTTTTGTTGGATTTGTAGCCGTTCGTTCCACCAAAAGGGCAACTACATCAATCACAGTCTGACTCACAACGCTGTCAAACAGTACCGGTGTACAGTGTGCGCAAAAGCGTTTCACCAGGTGCCTAGAGCAAAATAATTCTACTGTTATGATTGTACATGGCACACTTGAAGGCTGTTCAATATCGAGGTCAAGATTTAGCTGTGCAAAGAATGTCGTTTAAGTAAAATCTTTAATCGCGTTCAGGAATAAGGGATTCACTTAAGAACAACATTTTTCACATATCGGGTTTGAATTTCGACCACAGCTGCTAGTTTGGTTTTAACAATTCCGAACTTTTTATTATAAAATCATGCTAAACGTTGTTTTTGATAAAAACATTTAAAATATACCACGTTGAAAAGAGTTTGGCATACGCAATTGCATTTCTCGTTGCTACTTTTCCAGCCAGACTTGTGTGTGTGTGTGTTGGATTTAAGCGGTACTAATTGAGTTGTATTGTTTTTTTTGTTGCAGATGTACAATCTTGCTTTTCATATGCACACTCACAAAGACCGGAAACCGTACCAATGCGACAAGTGCGGCAAAGGGTTTTGTAGAAATTTCGACCTGAAAAAGCACCACAGAAAAATGCATCCGGACGATGACCAGAATCCGGTTACACTCTTTTCCGTCGGTTCAAAAACTAAGTGTTCTATCTAGATACTTTTTTTCAGTTCATCAGCGCCGTATAATTATCTCTATGACATTCCGTCAAAAAAAATAGTATAATAATATGGTGATTATTGTATAATAACCGAAAAAAATCTATAACTGTATAATAATATGTCTATGAGTAGCAAAGATTAGATAAAATCAGATAGTGCACTTCGTCCTTAAAGAAAACGCTTTACTATGATAATATGTTATCAAACAATTTTTATAATAGACATTTTAGAATTTCATATTATAGAAAATTGTTTTTCATTATAGAAAATTTCAGGTGACAACAATCAAGTTCTAAAGCAATAATATTGCTCTTAAAGATTTTTTTTTCAATCAGTGGTAACTGGTAACACGCATTTGAGGAGGGTTTCGCTTTATTTACATGTTTAGGGATTACATTGCTCGCATAGAAAGTGCGCCATCTGGTTTTGTCTAATCTTTGATAGTGCAATAGTATAGCATGTGTACAAAACCTTATTACATATTGTGTACATTATTATAGTATAACATGCATCGTGTTTTTTTTTATTATTGTATATCCGCGAAGGGTGCGCCGCAAGCTGAGCGGTAAAGATCATTATTGTTTCCGCCGAAGCGAAGTCGGATTGTTTGTATGTACGATAATAATAGTATGTGTGTAATAATAATTGGTTTATTTATAATATGTACTGTACACTAAAATGTCGGACGGATCAGAAGCGGCGAACTGTGAATTCTATTGTATGCACACCCTCTTTTTATCAATTGACCCCGATTACACTTGTGATCGCACATAATATTATACTGTCGTGTGTGTGTGTAAACAGAATAATAATAATTATGTTTAAAAAACCGTGTCTACAACGAGGTCGACCGTCGCCGGTCGGACCCTCTGTTATTGCTCAACGTACACGCGTGCAATACAATCATAATGTAATATGATTCTGTACTTTCAGAAACAAACATTAAAATTATTCCCCGGCTTACAGGCAGTTTACAATTATTATTTTAAAGAACTATGTATATAAAATAGTTAAAATTTGAAAACGCTACCAACTAAAGATTGTATAACTGTTGTAAAGATATTAGACTTTTTAATTATTCTTTTCATACTTTCAATTATGCATTAACTAGGCCAGCTTAAGATTTTCAAACGGCAACGTTTAGTACTATCTCAACTTTTTTAATTAAAATATTTTGCTGAAAATGTTGACTGGTCGATTTCAAAAATTACTTTTAAAGTTACTTAAGTATAAAATTTAAGACATGAGGTAGAGTACAGTAGAGCATAGCGCGCAGATAGAAATAATACTATAATCCACTCTTTCTCCTGTTCTAAATTTTAAAATTTGATAAAGTAAATAGTAAATACCTAAAAATAAATATTGCAATGTTTCAGTAATATTATATTATATACCAAATTGATTATTTATTATCGTATAACAGGATGATATTTAAATAAATATTAGAAAATGTCAAGCGACTTTTTGAAAGCAATAACCAAAATACGTTAGTAAGGATAAGTATGGTCAACTACGGTCGACCTACAGGGTCCTACTTGGGTAAGATGGCCGCGAGCCTATGGCCCCCAAATTAAAAGAGCCTCGCTTAGCTTCACACTCGTTTTATCAAATAACAACCACAGTCTATACTTTTATTTTTGTAAAATATGAAAAAAAATATTCTCACTTTGAATACAGTTTAAAACTATATTAAATATCAGAACGTTAAAAGGCTATCTCTAATCAAATAACTAGTTATGTGAAGAAATAAAGAATATCATTATCACTGGGCGGCTTTGTGATTTTCAAAAAAAATTGCTGTTAAAATTGAAATGTGCCGAGTACTGTTATGGGTCAGCTGTGAGGGTAAACATTTAAATTTATTTTTACAGCGTTACCTTTTCAAAATAAAAACCCCGGTATTATTACAGTTTTAAGTGGTTCCCAGTAGTGGTAACGAAAATATCAAATGTTTGGGGAGGTATTTATTTAGTTTATGAGTAGGGACCCCCTCAGAGATATTTTCCCATACGGTTGTAATATGTTCAAATCGGGCTTTATATTATAATATTATACCAACCGAAAACAATTTTAGCTTCAGGGGCCCGTACGTACTTATAGCGGTGCTCTCTACAGGAACAACCCTATCTGAGTGCGGTTCGACGGCCGGCAGATGGCGACACGTTTATCGACAGCTACCGGAGTCGGTACTCGGTAGAAAATGCACAGAGTAGATATATGTACAATATAATATAGTAGAATATTGTTATTGTGGGAATGTTTGTATGGGTGTGTGTATTTAATATTGGTTAATGTGATGTCGGAGATAACGACGGTAAAACGACCATCGAAGGGGGGAAGGGCCATTAAGGATATTACCGTGGACTGCGGGGGGCGATAAATATCTGCGGTGGCGTTAAGTCCGAGCGCTGCGCGCGCGCCCGTGTGACGGGATATATACTTACCACCTACTATTAATACACTATATACACCTGGCACGCGACAGATACTTACCTGCAAGTAGAGAGATAGTTGTCTGTGCCGCCGCAGTCGCCGCGCGACCGCCGGTCACGAGTGTTTTTTTTTTAATAAATACACATCAACAATTACCGTTTAACACGAGTTTTTACCCGGTTGTTTTCAAAAATATAATATTTGCATCGTCCGTCGATATTATTGAATAAATTGGAAGAAAACAATTTTTAATTCCCACGGTAGTTTGTGCTGTAAATATTATTATGCGTTGACCGAGCGGTACTCAAGTGGTGTGCATACATATACTGATAATATTATAATAATTGTAAATTGTGCGATTTCGGATGCACGTGTCCATGGCATCGTCGGAAGTGCAACAACTATTGCCGGAGGTGAGATAATGATTTTGTGTTATTTTTCAACGGATCTGTTTTTTTTACATGGGCGCAATCTGAGCGGGTCTTGTGTATCCCAAAATCGTCAGCTTTACAAGGTCGCCCGCATGTGAAAATTCAGGGAGGGGCCGCCTTTGATTTTGTAATAGATTTTACAAATTTGGGTTATTGGATATACATTTTTTAACTTGCGGAGAAGCTAGGGGGGGAGTTGTCACCCCTGCCTCTCCCTGTGGGCGCCCTTGCAGCTTTATAATATTTTCGGTGTTTAACCTCCCTCGTTGTTTTAAACGAAATCGCGCTATTGACGCAACTAGAAGGGATGGGGCTAAGGAAGTTCAGACCTTTTAAAATCTCTGAAAGCTCCCTCAGAACTTTAGTAAAAATTATAAACCTTACTTGGAGGTTGAGGTTGTGTCTGATTGGTTGCTGACTTTTTTTTTAGAGCCTGAACAACTGTCGCTGTCTCGGATAAAAATATATTATGTTTTAATTACTATTCGGCAATGTCGTTTGAGTGTGCCTTAAACAAAAACGGTTCGAAAAGCTCCTCTGCGGATTTGACGGGCACACCGACCGACCGCGTTCATTGTCGGCCGTTGAAATCTCTCAGGGGGGAAAGTCTGGCCGGACTCGACGTGCACGCGTTATTACAATATAATATGTAAACGCATTGTGTGTATTATGCAATACCTATACTCGGTGTGGTTGTCGCGTGCCGTACCTACACCTGTATTATAGTTAGAAAACGGTCGGCCCGTCCCGGATAACTAGATCAACGCGCGCGGTACGGAAACCTGTTGGCCGAACAATTCTCTTATATAGATCACAGACTCCGGGTGTACGGTGTATAAAAAACGCGTAACCGATATAATATATTATACGGACGGGTTATGTAACCGACGTCGAACAATCTCTAATCTGATAATGATAATAATAATAATATATAAAATTCGAGCGAGCAATCACAATACACTGCGGTAATTATTATAGGAGTGGGGGGAAAGTTAAATAAAATAAATTCAGCTGTGAACGATTTTTTAGCAACGAAACCCGTCGACCTTGATTGCCCGTTGCTCTCGATTGGAATCCACTTTTCCGCATACCACCCCGGCGGTAGCCAAGTTTATATTGTACATAGGTGTAAACGGTTGGGGCCGTTCCACTTGTCCTTCACCCTTTTTGAGCGTGGGACCATTGCAGACATCCGGGTTCCGATTGCTCTGATAGTTGGGTATACACGAATAATCTATCGGCTCGACAATATTAATATCGGAACTGTTGAAATTCAAATTTATTTCGAGTCAATTAGAATGTGTCAACGGCCAAATAGGATACTGCATCCTTATAAACCTTTTAGCTGATTTCTCCGTTCCGCGGAAAAACATTAAATCGTGGTTTTGGGTCTTACGACACTCTTTACATATAGTGCCCTGCAGTGGTGTGCCCATAGGGTATACTCCATATACGCCGTATACTCTCAAGTATCAAGTAATTTGCGAAAAATTTTATTATTGTTTTTGTAGTAAGTGGTTCATGTCTTTATAGAAACCGAATAAATAATAATATATGTTTTTTTTTGTACGGAAATTATTTTCCACCGGCAAAAACTGCGCTACGACGACGTCGTCAGTAAAGATATAACATCTTTACGACATTGTTATACTGAATAGTAGTTGTACTAAATTAATCAAGTCATAAATATAAATATATTATATTTATAAAGATAATAAGTTGGACGTTTTCGGTTGTGCACTAGGCCTATTTTTATCACAAAATTATTATTATTTTGGAAAGTAACGTCATAACTCATATTATTAGTTCATAGTTAATAGCATGATATGGAAGACCTTTTTTTTTTTCTTTAGGACTCTAACTTTTTCATAGAAATTAAAAAAAATTGTGCTGAGTAAACCCTCAACAAATTTGATGAAAACATCTCTGGTACCCTGTACCCACAACAAAGCCGTGACCATGTAAACCTAACCTAACCGTAAAATATGTCTATGTTAAAAGACCACCATTGACCATGTGCAATTTGTGTTGTTTTGACAGGACGATTGTTGGCAAGTGTGGGCGCCGCAGCAAGACCAACAGCTGTGGCTGGGACATCACCAGGGGTACCACGGGATGACCGCGGGCACGGGATACCAAATGCACCACGCCGTCGCGGCTGACCCAAGTCCTTCGGCCGCCGCCGGTTACGGAGACGAATACCTTCTCGATCTGGACACGTTAATCCAAGACCTGGTGTACGACGGCCAGACGACTACCGGCGGTCATCCGGTGGAATCGGCCGCGGCACCACAGCCACCGCTTTCGGCGACCGAACCGCTGTACGCCGCCGCGGACTACGGATCGTGTAGGCTGGCCGGCGACGGGTACGGATGCGACTCATCGTACAACGGATCCATTTATATATATCCGGCCGGCGCGGCGGAGTCCGACGGCGCCCGCAACGTGGTGCACCAACAACGACAGATGACCGCGGCCGGTACCGCGGTGAGCACCGCGACACCGCTGTCTCCGTCGACCGAAGCCAAAAGCCGGGCGCCACCGACCACGGTGCACGGCCGCGCCAAAAGACCGCAGGCCGCCAAGAGGACCGCCGCCGGTGGACAAGGCAAGAAATCGACCGGCAAGACGAGCACCATACACAGGTGCGAACATCCCGGCTGCGGCAAACAGTATACGAAAAGCTCCCATCTGAAAGCCCATCACCGCACGCACACCGGCGAAAAGCCGTACCGGTGTCCGTGGGGCACAAACGGTTCCGTGGCCGGGTTGCCGTCGTGCAACGGAAACGTCGCCGGAGTGCTGGCCGATGTGGTGCCGGCGGGTTCCGACCAGAGCGCGGGCCGATGTCCTTGGCGGTTCGCGCGGTCCGACGAACTCACCCGTCACTACAGGAAACACACCGGCGATAGACCTTTCAAGTGCACACAGTGTTCCAGGGCCTTTTCCCGATCCGACCACTTGGCGTTGCACGTGAAGAGGCACCTGACCTCTCCTTGAACCGCCTGCCCGCCCCTTGTGACTACTTGACAGTAAATCTGTGTTTTTGGCATATAAATTACTATATACCTACGCGTTTAGTATAGAGACGTGCACTATTATTTCTTATATTAGTTATCGAAAATCAACTAATTTTTTTTTACACCCGGCACGTTGTCTCTCCCGCCGTTTCTCCACTGCTCATGGCACGATACCTTTTCGATTCCAATTCGATAGGTTTTAACTTAACCGTTGACGAGTGTTCTTATAGCAAAATTACATTTGTATTAGGAGTCGTAACGACTAACGGTTGGATACGAAAACTGTATACCTAACCCCTCTACATTTAAATAAAAAATAGCTGTAACTTGTTTCCTCCAAGTTCAGCGTTGTTAAAACAATGTCAAAATTTCAGTGGCGGATCAATAGCAACAGGCAAAAGTGATACTGGTCTATCAAAGGTAAACAAAAAAAACTAATACAAACATTCCTTTATTTATTCTTATGAAATCCTGTTCAACCTTACTCTCTAATCAAAATGATGGTTAATCATATTATAACTGTAAGCTTCTTAATCCCAATTCCACTTCAAATTACAAACCGGGTGGGATTCAAAATTTAATAAAATGCGTCTGTGAACTTTAAATTTCATTATATTATACTTAGGTCACCAATTTTTACATCATTAATGTACATCGTCACTCAAATAAATAATAAATTACATTAATCGTTAATCACGAGAGAAATTAGAACTTTTTAGTCTTTTATAACAACTCATTAAATTTATTTCATCTGAAATACACATAAGGTAGTTCATCATTAAAAATTATGAGAAATTATCAAGATAAAAATAAAATATTTATTCATGAGTAATTTAATTAACGAACAAAATTAATTTTTACACGCTTTTTATTAATTGTACGACAACCAATATTCGATAGTAACTTATTAGAATACATTTTTTCTAAAAAAAAAAAAAAAAATTTCTTGTTGACTATCAACAAAGGTATGCTTTGTACCAAGTTGGTAGTAGCATTGATTTGTATTTAATCAATGGTAGTAGTAAACCTGTAGGTTATGCTCATTGAAAACAAAACAAGTTGAAGAATTATATAAACCCCATTGAAGTTGAGTTATTGTTGTAGATACTACATTAATACATCATATATAGATAAACGGTTTAATCAACCGTAATATAGTTATTTAGACAGTGCCTATTGTGTTTCCTAGTTCATGCGTTTTCCTTGATTCGCCGCTGTTATGAACCTTACAACTTACTCTAAAATCACAAATTCCACATTGATTATACAGTTTTGCTACTTCTTTTTAGTATGTATATAAATAGATTATGACATTTGTAAATACGTGTTATTGTAAATAAATAATTTGACTACCGCTGAGAAAAGCTTCGCCTATTGCGTAGTGTTTTTTTTAGTAAAAATGGATATTGCACCAAGACTATAATATTATGGCCATATGATTAATTATATACATTTAACTATAATAAACATTACCTACATTGATGTTATTGGACGTCGGACGAACGCTAAATCGTTAATATTACTATTAGCGTTAATGTCAATCAAATCAATCCTATTACGATAATAATTTTAAAAAAATTAAGTTTACTTGACTTAAGGTTCATTCGGGTTGTATTAACGAAACAAAAACTACGACGGGAGAGACATATAATATTAAAACAATGTAATAAAAATAATATTTAAAAAAATACCTATTAATTGTATCTGTATATTTTGTATTGTGCCTTATAATAGTGATATAAATCAAAAATTTCAAACGAGCTTATAAATATTATATATATAAAACTATGTTTTGTTTTTTAATTGTATTTATTTGTTATTATTATTATTGTTTTTTTCCTCTTTAAATTTAGTCATGTAATAAAAAAAAAACGTGTGTTGCCATTATAATTATTAAAATAATATGAATATATACAAATTGTAAAACTACCTACTCGGCGTTTTATGTATTATTATTTTTTTTGCCGGTGTGTAATACTATACCGTGTGGTGTAATTAATATAGATGTGACTGCATACATATATATATGTAATGGACAAACTCACACAAACATTTATATATATATATATATAAATATTTGGCCGCCGTTTATCAGCGCCGATGCGCCTTGGCGTTGATTAATAGCCGCACGGCAAACAGAGGAAGTCACGCCATCCATTAACGAAATGAAAACGGACAGCGGAAGTTTTTTTTAAACTTCCGACGGTAAAAGCTATGGATTTTATGACGTACCAATGCATTAGTTAAATTGGAAATAAAAAGCAACTTGACTCGGTTAGGTACCAAACCGTGTATTTGCAAACATCCGTTCTGAACGGGGAGGGCCGAGCACCGCACTCTCGAATTTGTCTTTTTCCAAAGCGACCACTCCGGGGCTATTCTTCGGGCCCATTATCGACCAGCAGAACTTACAAAACTTATAACTTAACTTAAAACTTATATAATGTATAGCAGACTGGAGTACAAAATACACACAAGCCGTACGGACACAATTTGTTGTAGTTATCGCCCCCGGGCATCTATATGTACATGGGTACATAAAACATATATAGCAACCGCAATAATAATAATTATACCCACTCGAATACGCTAAATCACCTACCGCGTAATAATCATTATTTGTTTACAGAACTGTATTAAATCGAATATTTGCATTATTCATAACTAACCCTATTATATATATTATTATATATTATATATTATATGCGTTTCCCGTTTGGCTGATCTGTATAGGCTGATGTCCAACCCGCTGAAATATAGTTCACACAATATCAAACAAACAAAAAAACCTGCTCAAGTTGAAAGGGTGTGCGTTACGCAATAACCGGTTCTGTTAAACTACTAATTGATGTCTGATGAATATAATGATATTATAATAATATATTGGCTGCATTATTATCATCAATTATATAGCAAAATGTAATTTATTTTAGTTTAGTATATTAAAAAATAAAACATAAGTTCAAATGACTAATATTAGTAATTATAAGATATGAGTGTAGAGTTACTTCGCCAGTGAATAAATACTTTTGTTTTTTATTTACTAAATATTTAACTAGATCAGAATTAATAATTTAATTATTCAAAAATATAGTTTATATTACCGATGAGTTCAACGTTATTATTTTTCATGTCACGACGTTGGGACAATAATAATTGTTCATACTACTTTCTTGATTTTAAAAAATCAAGTAAGTATGGAAAATAAAATATTAAAAAACGTTGATGTTGATAACTTTAAGAGCTTGTCTCGAATAGGAAAAAAACAAAATGCTACACACTAATAGTGAGAAGATAAATATTTGTCTTGGCTTTAATATAAGTTAATATACAGGACATGCTTTTGTAAGATTTTTAAAAGAAGCAACTCTTTTAAAATGGCTTATTGAAAAATAAATGGATGTAATGGTTACCTAAATATTTTATTACATACAACACCTTAACCAAAACTTTATATACATTGTTATTAAACCCAAATGGCATCAGCTCATTATTACTACTATTTATAAATCATGTGTCTTGGTCTAATAAGTCTAATAAGTCGATGAGTCTCACACGATTGTTAGTAATTATTTTCGTGTTGTACTAAAGATATCAAATTGCCCATGCCAGATCATCGTACCTACTACAAGTTACTAGTTTTGGAATTGAAACGAATAGGTATTCATTTTTGGACTTAGACAAAAGTACAATGATTCTTTCTTTTACAGGTTCACCCCTGTGCAAGGGTATCGAACAGTATCTTATAAAAGGTTACGGGGTCACGACTTAAAGCAGTTACTCGATAGAATCAATATCATAAGAAATATAATTAAAGCGCATGGCTGGCGTCCGAGCCACTAAATTTTACAACTTATATGTTGGTAAGCAAGTTCGATTATTATTACATTAACAATAATAATCTGTAACAATTTTTTTTTTGTTCTATAATTTTATACTATATTATCGATGTAATAAGTGCGTTATGCAAGATGTACAATTTCTAAATGTTATTTTAAGTAAAAGTAGTCGTTACGTATCCGTATGATAATATGTTACATTGTTTCTAAAAAAAAATAAATAAATAAATTACATCATAAAATTTTTTAAACAAATTAGATCACGGCGCAAAAGTTGTCATATTAAGTGGACTGTACTGAATGTTTAAGCGGCAGTTATGTAATAATATAATATAGTTTACATTTATTAGTACCACGGGTACTATACCTAACCTATCTACATGATTTATAGAATTATTTATCGAATACAAATACTGTTGACGTACAAAGGTGTTTTCTATAATACGTTTTATATTAATAAACATATTTTATTTTTTATTTAAAATTAGTATTTACTGGAACTATACTGCATGTATACTTACATCAATAGACTCTAACTTTATGGCCAATTAAACCGGAATAGATAATTAATTCTTGTGTAATATTATAACCAAGAGGAAACACCGCATTGGTATTTGATATGGTATTATACTTGTGTCATGTGTTATTTGACTATTTACATATTAACAGCACTAACGAAAATAAAAAAAATGCAGTAATCGAAACTAAATTAAAGTTTTTCGAGCTATCCACTGACATTTAGTAAACATAATGTTTTCCTGTACTCGAGTGTATTATTATGTAAGCTTTATACTGACAACATCATAGGTAACGCGTGTTTTGGGAGGTTTGCATTTATTATTTTATCGCGTTCACGTCGAGTAGATTTGAATACATCCAGAAGATGTAATAAAGTTTCTCACAAGAAAAACCCAACGATTTCATTTTAACCAGATTGGCTAAGTTATAATATTATTGTTGTCTGTTAAAAATATGTGGTTTAATATCGTCTGGAATTTAATTATACTGAGAAAAATATAAGAAATCTGACAAAAATATATACAAACAGGTTTTATATTCATAGTATTTATGTATTTGTTTATTAATTGTATTGCTATTTATTGAGTTTACAAATTTATTTATTATAAAAAATAATTAAAAGGAAAATTAAATACATATATTTGACTTGAAATCTTTGTTTTTATATTTTTTCTAGTTTAAAATATCATTTGGAATATATTTTGTATAGATGTAAATATAATATAATAAGAACATTTGTAAAAAAAAAAATTTATGCCGAAGTATAAAAATGTTTTTAACCAGGTAAGTAAACTGAGTGTTTTTATTATCTGCTTTGGTCAATTACGTTTTAAATCTATAAACAATTATCTTGAAAATTCGAAAACAGTGACTTATTATAGCTATTTTCTTTCTCCATTGTACTCTTTTATTTTTGGTTGCAAAAAACTGAGACGATTGAATTTTAAGACATCAAGAAGGCTTAATCTTTATTTTTTGTCTAAACTTGTATAGATACATGATAAAGTACACTATACAGAATTCAGATACACCGGTTACTCTAGTTTATTATTATATAATAAAAATAAGCCTTATTTTTTAGTTTTTATTGTAAAAAAAATAATCATGAACTTTAAATATTAATGAGTAACGAATAATAACTAATTACATTATGTAGTTTGTGACTCATAATTTATTATAATTGTGTTTTCTCTAACATGTACCTACTGTCTCGACTTGTCTTATAATAGAATAATAATGTAAAATAAAACAACGGTCTAAGTAATTATTGTAATATTTTCAAAATCGTTGCTCCAGTTCGATGTTTTTGGAGCAACCGTTGCAATTTTGTGCTTTTTTTTTGACATAAATTGTAAATCAGATGGCCACATATTCCAAAATTAATAATAGCCGTCTCGATGAAATCTGAACAAACATTAAGCTCATAAATCATAATATGTGTAACGTTTCGGCCAAGAGTTGTCAATAACTCTTAAATGGATTGTACTAACTTAATTATTTCTGCGATTTATATAAAACAACTTTTTGCATTCTGCTTTGTTTAATACATGGAATATATGGTTGGCCATGTTTAATTATGTGCATGAGCGTTCAAAGAATAGCAAATTTTGTTTAGTACAACTGAAAAAACATTAAACGTGTTTTTAAACGCAATAATATTATACTTCATTAAAATCGTTTAAATCATTTTCAAGGGATTACAGCGTATGATTTCAGGTAATTATTATATATATATTATGTAATGCGAGACGCCAGACGAATCATGACAGAAGGCCATATTTAATGCATATATATTATTTATACATACCTATAATTTAATAACTAATAAAACAAAATGTACAAATATTCAGCAAATACAATATTGTAGCTGGGCAATATACGGGTTAGTATAATATTCCTTAATTTAAATGCCCGATATCCAGCCAATAAATACATTAATATTGAACGTATCGGTAATATTATTATGTAAATAATATAAAATGGCGATAATTTTTTTCTACGCGGTTACTACGTATCATTTATTGATTTAATATTCATTAATAAACCATAACATAACAATTTGTAACATAATTGAGTTAATATATTTTATTAAACCACATCATTAAACATTAAAATAACATTAAGACGGTTTTGATACCGGTTTAATATGACGTCTTTGTATAAAATACTTACATTTTATTTTATCTGTTATAACACTTGTCATTCACATTAAAAAAAAATATATTTTAATGGTATATTGAAGATACCGTATTATAATGAGAGGTCCGTGAGATTAGCTTGTTGTTGCATTGAAATTCTATAAAATATTGTAACAAATTGACTGTGATTAACAATTACAAAATTATTTAATTTCACCACAATTATATATTTAAAATCAATTATATAAATGACAAAATTCATCACGGT